ATCTAGACAGTTTTAATGGATGACAAATAGAACAAAGGCCAAACTGTAATCATGTCAACATTATGTTTACAGTTTGAATCTATGAATGAGTCATTAAAGATTGTTGAAACCTTGGTAGTTTTGAAGGGTGGGCAAAGAACTGTTCAGTTTTGTCACACATACAGTAAAACCAAAAACAGTTCTTGTTTTTCAATCCAGTTGGAAGCCTTATGTGTTTTGCAGATTCATGTATGTGATTATAAAAGTCTTGGATGTTATATATCCATGTACTTCGATAGTCCTTTATGAATTTTTCAAAATGACAGTGGCTTGATAAAAGGAACAAGAGAATTTTGAGTTCCACATGGCCATTAAGTAATGAACATGTAGTCCTTTATGAATTTTTCAAAATGACAGTGGCTTGATAAAGGGAACAAGAGAATTTTGAGTTCCACATGGCCATTAAGTAATGAACAAAAAGTCTAAATTGATTATTTGATCAAGTGGGAGAATGTAAGAAGGTTTATTACATTAAACCTACTAAAGTGATCTTCTAATCAACTTAGGATTACAAAGACTTATTGTTTATTAGGAACTCAAAACCTATCTCGATTAGGCAAGCCTCAAACAGTGTTCAATAAGGATAATGAAGGCTTAAGGGTTCCTAGTTCTACAAGGATTGAAATGGATTAATCCTATAGCATGAAGGATATCTCTAAGTGTTTCTTGATGGGCAAGACACTTAGAGAGATGCATATAAATAGAAGGCTCCCTCCTAGATCCGAATAACACAACACAGCTAAACAGAAATTCACCCATCAGAGTTATAGCTATAAGGATCGGATTCTCAGGAGAAGAACTTCTATTCCTTGCACTGCCAATCTGTTCCAGCATCATCCAGTCCTTGCGCCAGCACCATGTCAGACTCAGGTTAGTGTTAAACATGTTATGGCTTTAAGGAATTAACACTACAATCCCATTCCACAACAGTGAGGCTAAAAAGAATGCTCAGCAGCAAAGCAACGCACATTCTTTTTAGAATTACAATTATTTCATATTTTCATCCACATAATTGCACACTCCTTACGTCTTTTTTAGTACAAACGATCGTCTAAACTAGAGGGGAGAGGGATTTCTCACATACAGACACACAACTATGATGCTGTGGGGATTTAAACCTGAGACTCTGTCTGTATACAGTGCGTTGGCTCCTTATGTTAGTCATAAAAGAAAGTAATTAAAAAGAAAAAAAAGAAAAGACAAGAATCCTTACTAGTTGCAACTTGCAACAGATGTAATTTTATTTTTTTTCTTTTAATGGTGGCCCAGAACTACAAAAATACCCTCAATGAGAGTTATACCCTTGATGGATGCCTTAAAATACAACCTGGCCTAATTAATTATTAGTATATTACTATTAATTAATCCTCTAGAAGGAAGAGCTCTCAATATTTTTGTCGTATACAAGGACGTGTATTTAGTGAGCACCATTGAAATTGGTTAATATCAGCAGCACCAAACCAACCAATGGTTACAGAAATGAAAATCAATTTTATAAACATGATTTTGTTGAAAGGCACTGTTGTTGAAATGAGTGAGGATAAGTCAACGATCCAGATCAAACTTATTTTAGTGCATGAACATGACTTGAAAGTGAAGCAAAATTTTATAAAATTGACAAAAATTAATAAAATAAATAAATATAAAAGAAGAAGAAGAAGAA